TGTACAATATTGGACTGTCAGAGCCAATGGCTTTCCAATATTGGATACATGCCAGCATTAGCTGTCCAATATTGGACTGTCAAAGCCAACAGCTTTCCTATATTGGATATACGCCGGCATAACCTGTACAATATTGAACTTTAAGAGCCAATGTGTTTTCCGATATTGAATATACGTTGGCTTAAGCTGGTTAATATTAAACTGTCAAAGCCAAGAGTTTTCTAATATTGGTGATGTCTTGGTATAGGCTGGTCAATATTGGTACTGCCATAACCAATGGCTTATCGATATTTACGTCGCCTAGTCTATAGACCCGCGAACCTCTTTTTTGCATTGCAGAAATAGGAAATTGGAAAAGAGTCATTCATGAGCTCGCTCGGGCGAGAATTTTATTTAGCCAACTTCATGGGGCGTACGTCGCCGGCGCTTTATAACCGCAATCACAAATACGTCCTTAGCTGCCTATATGACTATTGCAGTTTTTTTGCTGGCTGCTCTCCATTCGCATTGCCTTACCTCGGCGTTGACAACTTAACTCCGTTTTTTTAGATTTAAGTATTTTTGTCTTTTCCAATATATTTTTTATATATACGTAGCGTTAACGTTTTCTCTTTGTCCGTGCCCCTGTCATGTTTGTATTTCTTTCTGCGTGCTCTATTTTTTTATATTTAATGATTCTGTGCATATTTAGTCATTGTCGACGCAGGTGTCAACAAACATAAAGCCGCCGCTTACGCTGCAACCGAAGTGACTCTCAGTTTTACGAGAGTATATCGCGATATAACGTCATATATTAAACTCGAGTGAAGTCTCGAGAGGGTTGCTTCGACTGCCAGTGCACATGTCATCAGGGTAGGCAGAGCAACGACGTAGCTATCGCGACGCGAGAGCACACTGCGCCTCGATGTGGCCGGCCGCGCTCGCTCTGCGGAAATGTGAGCGTGGGACTCTCGAGCCCCGTTAGCTTACTGAAGCTGCTAGACCCTACTTTGTTGTCGCGAATCATTTGCCCTTCGAACGGTCGCGAAGCCGTTGCGCTCGGAGTACCCTACCCAGCATCTTTCAGAAACCGTTCGCGCAGCATCGCAACCCTCTGTCGGCGAGCGTGGGCGATTCATCGTGTGCTGCAATTCGGACGATGTGCTGCTCGGGCTGTCTTTTATGTGTAACTCTTTCGTAAAACAATTTGAAGTTTAAAAACGCGAACCTAACAGCGTACAAACAGTTTTAAATTTATTGATAAAAAATATATTTATATACTTATAGATATATTTGTGTACATCGAGCGCAAAAAATAGTCGCGCTTAGTTCTTCATTACATTATATTATATATTTATATATTATTATATTTACGTTATACGACGTAAAACATACTGTCTTCAAACTTGCCCCGTTTAGAACCACTTTTGGGCTGGAGAGCGTCTTTAGAAGTTCAAAAGCTGACCTTCAAAGAGCTGTCCTGTTAAATCGGTATTGACAGCAGGGTAGACGCTATGCGTGTTTAAGGCCAATCGTGTCTCCGGTTATGGTCACTTGACTACGGTCTCGAAGCTGGTGATAAGGCAGAGCACGGAACCTGCCTAAAGCCCAAGGTCACGCATAACATCTACTGCACTATCAACCTTGGGTAGAAGTGACAAATTCTCTCGCTGCGTTCATTGTTGAGATGCCCCTGTAGATTAGCCTTTTGTAAGCGCACCCCACCCCCGTTCTGGCCTGCTTGCTTTGTCCTCCTTCTCTTTTTTTCTCTCTCCCTAAGCTGAAGGCGCGGTAGACGGTCCGTACTCGCCGGACCAATGAACCGTACACGTTTTATCGCTTGAGTTCGCTCTCTGTGCGCGGGTAACGGCAGAAGCGTGATCACGTGGTTTGACGGATGACGCATTAGCCGTTGAAAAACTCGGAATGCCTGCGTCGCGAAGACCGGACCTAGTTTCGCGTGTGACGCGGCCTGCGGGGTGCGGGCCCGCTGTGGATTTCGCTTCTGTGGTAAATGGTATCTCGTTCGAAAAGTCCCACCCGTGTCGATTTCTTCATAGAAGCCCAAGACATTCTTGTGAATCGTTTAGTGTTCGGTTCGGCAAATGGCAGCGTGTGCTACATCGTGTTGAATCTTCACGGATCACTTGCTTCTGGTTTTTGTGTTTGAGGGGTTTTTGTGCAGTGCCCGTGTTTACATATATGTCGGATTACATCTTTCAAGTCCGGTATTTTCAAAGTAAGTGCGCTGCAACCTACTTTGTGATCATTGTCCGCTCTTGTATGGGTAATCTTCCGGATAACCTCTAGACTTGGGCAGGGCCTATCTCCTGGCAGCCGTTAGAATAAGTTTCCCGCAATCTTACCGACAGTCGCCTGCCATTATCTGTCTGAAATAATGTCACAACTGCAGGTAGAATGCTGACTTTTTTATTCTCCGTGCGTTTCGCGAAAACACGTTTCGTGGCCACCTTTTCGTCGACATTTTTGTTTCATCGACACGCGTTACGCGAATTGCGCGCTGTGGGGGCATTTCGTCGTGCGTGTATTCCTGAGGCGCAACGTTTCCTTGACATGCATTACGCGAATTGCACGCTGTAGGGGCATTTCAACGCAAGTGTATTCCTGAGGCGCGTGCTCACCGAACCAGCCCACCCTTTCACGCCGCTTCATGCCAAGTCTGAAGCTGTTCATTGCAAAAAAACAAAAAAGAAAAGAGGGAAAAAGATGTATTTTGAGTTTTTTTTATGAAACATCGCGTGTTGATGAAACGATCTGTCTATGAAATGTCGTTCGATGAACTGATTGCACCGCCAATGAAGGGCGAATAGCGGTAGAATTTGGGGGAAAAAATTCTTCCAGCTGCCGGGAGACTGGACACTCCACAATAATTACCCCGGTTTGTGTTTACTTTGCAATCTTCTTAGTTGTATCACAGTTGAATAGTACCTCTTCACATATTACAAATTGCTGATTTTGTGCCTGTCTACAGAATAAGCTGTGTGTAATAAACTTTTTGAAGATTTTAAAACAATCCCTTGTGTCTGTCTACCTTCCTTTTTGCAAACAACTTGGTGAATGCACTTGCAAAGAGCTGGGCGAGTGCAACGATGGCCAAAAATCAGCATAACGGCCAACATTGGATCGGGTCGCCCTTCCAGTGTTGTCCATTATTACGCCGGTTTTCGCCAATGTGGGAGCACCTTGGCTGGAACCATGGTTTAGCAATGGCCCAACATTGGCACCAATGATTGGGCCGACATTGGCTGGAACGATGGCTGAACAGTGGCCCAACATTGGCACCAATCACTGGGCCAACGTTGGAAAGGGTAGCGCTTCCAATATTGTCCAATATTGCGGCCGGTCTTTGCCAATGTTAGGCCAACGTCGGACCGACATTGGTGTGCTGCCTGGGTGTGGCTTTAACACTCCAATATTGAACAGCATATGACAGCATACATTGAATATTAGAAAGCCCTTGGCCTTGGCAGTGCAATATGACCAGCACAAGTCAGCATACTTCCAAAATTGGAAATCCAAATTGGCTTTTGCAGTCCACTATTGGACCAGCTTATGCCAGCATGAGTTGGTCTTGGAAAGCTGTTGGCTTTGACAGTTGAATATTGACCAGCTTACGCCAACATGCATCCGATATTGGAAAGCCATTGGCTCTAACAGTCCAATATTGGACAGCTAATGCTGGCATGTATCCAATATTGGAAAGCCATTGACTCTGACAGTCCAATATTGTACAGTTTATGCCAGCATATATCCAATATCGGAAACCTATCGGCTTTGACAGTCCAATATTGGATAACTTATGCCGGCATATATCCAATATTGGAAAACCATTGACTTTGACAGTCCAATATTGGACAGGTTATGCCAGTATATATCCAATATTGGAAAGCCATTGGCTTTGGCAGTCCAATATTGGATAACTTATGCCAGCATATATCCAATATTGGAAAACCATTGGCTTTGACAGTCCAATATTGGACAGGTTATGCCAGCATTTATCCAATATTGGGAAGCCATTGGCTTTCACAGTCCAATATTGGACAGGTTATTCCAGTGCATCACCAATATTGGAAAAACATTGGCTATGATAGTCCATTATTGGCCCAGGTAATTCCAATATTGGTAAACACATGGCTCAGTTGGGCCATTGTTGGGCCATTCTTTGTCCCATCAATTCCAATGTTGGCCCAATATCGTGTGCTGCCTGGGCTTTGAAGGGATACTTCAACGAAATTTGAAATATCCCCGTCGTGTTCAGAAATAGGTTGAATATGATCCACAATATCCGTAAATGACATTCGCGCGTTTGTATTTTGAGCCTGGTTGCTGTATTTTTCGTTATAAACGGCCCACTCTGGCAAGCGCTCGGAGAAGGCCCAGCGGAGATCACGTGACATCCAACGCAATCGTGACGTAGGTCGTCTCAAGACGAGCAAAGCTACGGCGAGGCTGACGTCGAGAGGATGGCCTAGTCGTTCCAGCCACCGAAGCGGCTGCTTTTGTACGAATTTTGAGTGACAGGTTAATCTTCTGTAATCTTGTAGGGGGACAATAGCGACTTCTGCGACACACAAAGGGCATTCTCGGGAAGAGGGGAGTTCCTCCTGCCCCTCTTCTCTCGTCGTGGCCGGAGACGAGACAACCTCCGTCACTAGCTGTCAAGGTTCCTAGACGGGCATTACAAGCGAGGCATTAGCGACATCCACCAGGTGCTCTTTGCCAATCGTTTAATTTGTTTTAAAATTCCTTTTCGTGACTTTTTTAGCAAGATATTGGTATGTTCGATGTGATGCTGCTCCTTTGAACACATATAGACCGAAAAATGAGCACCGAAATTTCGTTGTAGTATCCCTTTAAGGGTGCCCGTGTGACGGGGGTATAAGTGCAACTTGTAATAACGAATACCAGTGGAACAATCAGTGTTTCGGTGTTCAAAGCTGTTGCAGAAATACACATAAAGATACCTGGAACGGAATGAAACTGTTCATATATGTACGTACCCTATTCATCTGGAGCGTCTTGTGCCTGTAGAGGAAGTAGCCCGTTGCCATGCCGATGCAGAAGGCGGTGAGGTGAGTGTAGGGCCGGTACCCGATGTAGCTCATGAAGTCATTGAAGTGACTGCGATGGAACGTGGAAAAAACAATATTGCGTCATCTTTAAATGAGGTGTACGGTCCTTTACTTACCTTACGTTCCACGGTCGTCTAATTTCTTTTACCATCCTGTGATAGATTGTTTCAGAACGATACACACCTATATGTACGGAGCAGCCAATGAAATAAACTGACAATCACATTGTTTAACATTGCTTAGTACGAGAAATGAAGAACGGCTCTTTTGAAGTTGAAATAGTAACAAAGCGTATTCTCCGTGAAACTTTGGTTTGTAAGACAAAACACAATAGAGCCCTGAATTTTCTGACATAGTAGTGTTTACTCTACTATGACGAGTAAACACTCTACTACTTAGGCGAGAGAAAAAAATATTCCTTTGGGACAACGTACTTGACAGTGGTGGATGTCAGAGGACAAAAGTAAAACGATAATTAGCGAACTAATTATCTAAAATTAACCCACACACTTATTAAATAGAAGTTCGATCTGCAAGCCCTAATCAGAGATATGTTGGCCGTCGAGAAAATAATCAATGTCAATTCTTAAAAAAAAAAAAATATATATATATATATATATATGGGCGGTTTCATTTGGATTCAGGCAACGAGGTGCAGTCGTATTTTTTATTTTGTTTCCAATCTTCATATTTCGTGGTGCATGTTCCAAGAAAAACAATCATTTTTATTTTAATGTCCTTTCATGTTTAGTTTCCGAAAAAAAAAAAAAATCTAAAAGAAGCGGGAAAGCGCGAGGTTTTGACGATTGTCGTGTGCGGCGTTTTTTAAACACTCTCAGCATCAAAGTATTCAAAAGAGAGCGCTTATGTTTATTGTGATATATATGCAAGCAGGTAAGACGACATTATAACTACTATTTATTATTTGTCGCCCTCCAACCTTTGTAAAAATCCCCAAACATGCCTCCACAAACAACTGTGACCTAAATTGCTGATTTTTTTTTTGTGTGTGTGTGTCGACTATCTTTAGTATTGCTTTTAAAATTATACTACATGTAGAATCTTTCACTGCCTCCCACATTATGCAAAGTTTGTGTCTTTATCATCTACGATCACTGAGAATTAAATTATGAAACAAAGAAGGTTTTCACTTTTTGTTCAATTTCAGCACGCTGTATAAAAAAACAACAACGACAAAAAAATATTTTTTTCGCAACGCGTTCTCTTTGCACCTTTCTTTTAGCCCTTGCTGCGACCACGTGACCCTTAGATAACGCCAAGGTTACCGAAATGGTCCACCGATAACGCGTGCAGCACTTACTCTGGGTCCGGGTCGACAAATATGGGGATGGGCGGGTAGTTCCACAGGTACGTCAGAATAGCCACTGTCCCGATGGACAGGGCTCCCAGTGCGGACAGCAGCAGGAGGCTGATGGCAGGTCTCCTGAAGAAGGGATCCCAAAGGACGCGGCATTAATGTCTACAAATAAGGTTCTGACCTAGCTCCTTCTCGAGAGAATCATTTTAGGATCGTAATTAAAGTAGAGATATTATTCATCACCGCCGAAGAATAACCACAAGCAAAGTAATTCGTCTTTCCGAACGTTTCCTTAAATAAAGAATAATAATAATAAAAAAGAATGATACTGGGGATGGCATTAAGATGCGTAGTTTTGACGGACAGTCAAACGGGTTAACGGAAGTTAATAACCTCTTGAGAGACTATTTTAACGCAGAGCACTCGGACAGCCGTAAAGTTCGTTGCTGGTTCCGATCAGCGACGGAAAGACTTCAGCGAATGAAGAAATTCAAAAATCGTTTCGATAAAAAAAAAGAAAAAAAGACCTTTGTTGCCGCTTTGTAGAGCACCGACACGACATTCAGTGCATTAGATCAAATTGTCGACTCAGGATTAGTATAAGCTTCGAAATACACTATTCAGTATTACACTCATTGTGGTAGCGGACACCCAGTAAACTTCTGGGCCTTTTTTTTTTTTTTTTCAGTTTACGCTTATGTTGTGAGAGACGAAATGCCAATGATCAATAAAAATTTAATAATAATAATAATAATAATAATAATAATAATTATAATAATAATAATAATAATAATAATAATAATAATACTAATAATAATAAAAACGAGACTGAAGCAAATGAACAGCCCAAACACGGTTCCGGGATTTTTCGTATTATTATGTTCAAGTTACAATTGTAATTTAACTTTCGACGTGCGGCGGCGACCAGCGGCCATGTACTCACTTGAACATCAGGATGAAGATGACGGGAGCGATGATGTAGTAGTGCATGTCGCAGGAAAGGTACCATCCGTGGGGAAGGCACTGAAGCAAAACCAGGCACGCGATTTAATAACATGGAAGGGCGACTGGTTTACGCCCCCACGATTAGTTCATTCTTATTAGCGTACGACGAAGTAGGAAAGTGCCTTTATGACTTCAGCACTGAGTATAAAAACAACGACATAACGAGACGTAGCTTTTGCGTGCAAAAAGCGTTATTTAAAATTATTAATATATATTTTTTTGAAGATGATGGGGGGCTTACGGGCGACTCAAAATTCCAGGACATTCAATCGCAGTATATGTCACTTTGATTCGTGCGGGTTTTAAGAAGTGCTTACACCGTACTGTTTTTGGATTGATGGTACCCTGTAGTAAGCAATTTAGATCGTGAAGTTTGTTCCTCGTTCACTTTGAACGTCAACGGAATTTTTTTTTTCTTTGCAGATAAGAAGTATTAACGATTTAGAGACCTTTTCATGTTTTTTGCGCTTTTGTATATATCTATTGCAATGTTTGATCCCGCAACTTCCCAACAAATTATACGATTACGGGCAAAACGTGGTTCTAAACAAATGTTTCACAAGCTTAATTTTTTTTTTGTGAATGTTCAATACTCGTTGGAAACCAAGAATTGAAATGTGGCAATGTATTGTTTCATGACATTTCTCGTCCAAACGAAACAAAATTGAATGAAATTGGCGGGTTCCTTCGAGGGTCGCCCAAAATCTTATTAAGATTAAAAAAAAGAAAAAAAGACGCATTTTAAAATTGCAGTCATTTCGAACTATTACTAAAGCCCAGTATATTTATTTCCACGTTCCGACCTATGCCAACCGGAACTTCTCAACTTGTTACCCAGCTTGTATGTCCGGCGTCACCTTTAGCGAGGCTACAACTAGCTTTTAATTCTGTGCGTGAACCTAACTTCGATATTTTTATATGTAATCGTGATTTAATTTGGCACGTACGCGAATGTATGTCTTCCCAATAAGCGTGATGATGCGTGTGTATCCTTAGTTATCTTATTCTTTTGTCTCTCGTTTAGTCGTATTAATGACCAGTGTATTGTTTTATTTTATATACATAGTACTTCACATCTTTTGTGTACCACTCAGTAGACCGTTATAGTTGTTTGTGGGCACAGAAAGGATAAAGGTAATAATAATTATGTTAATAGCAACAACTGCTACTACTACTGCTTCTACTACTTTTCGATAGAAGGCCAGCCGCTTTTAATCGACGTTCCCGCTACAAAGGCGTTTAAATCAGGCTGCAGTTTGCGCCTCCTGGTCGATTCAGCGCGTCCTGAACCAACACCAGCTAGAATGACCAATGCCCGTGCTCTAGTATTTTGACATCATCACAGTGAGATCGAGCGCAGACGCAGAATGAACACGAGTGCCGCGTCAGTGTTCGGAGGCGTCGTGTCGAATCAACGTGTCGGAATACGCTCGGCGTCGGGCTCGGGCTCAAGTGCTGAATCGGCGCCATTGTATAACGTGATTGCGTTACGTGGAGGTACCGTAAGCTACTTGTTGGTGAGCGCGTTGATAATGATGCAACTTTAGAAAGAGTTTTACGCATAAAGACACGGGACGGGACAACACATCTTTCAACTTTCAACTGACTTTGATTATTTGGGGTGGTGTTGACCCGAAACCCATCTAGCCAGTGCTAGGTAGTGCTGAATCACGATGTGCTCCGTACACGCCCGTCAGTGGGCGGCCCTCAACAGTAAGAGTCGTGCACGTGGCTGGTTGTTTTCTAGTTATTTCTCGTTTTATAAAGGCTTCCGGCCGAATGCCTCCATTCATTTGTCCATCAAGCGATCGAGTTCTGCAGGACGGCGTTCTAAGCGTGCTCACAAACGGCCGCATATCGAGGGGGAAACAAGATGGCGGCCCCTCAAGCAGACGACACAACTGTCCCCGCTCAGGGAGGTCCGCCAGCCCAGCAACATGGCGGCACTCGTGCTCACCATGTTGTCCCTGTGGAACCAGGACCCGATGTAGAGCAGATTGGTCCACCAGTTCTTCTCGCAGCTCTGCGCGTACGGTTGCAGCGTCTCGTTCCAGACGGGCCCGCTTCCGGTCAACGGCAGCAGGACCATCAGCAGAGAGACGAGCATGAACGCCGGCGTCAGCCTGCAGGCGCGGTCCAGAAAGGAATCGTCGCCGATGTTTTAAACCAGACCTCGCGAGCACCAAAGCCCAAACACTATCTGTAGACAAAGCAAGTATCCAGCAAATATGCTTCAAATATCCTTGAGACCTGTCCGCAGATAATGATGTTGTCATGTCTGCGACGGACACTGTGCCTTCTGTATAATGGATATGAGCAGTCTGCTCATATTCCATCTGCTGGCTTGAAAATTTAAAACGCAGTTGTTTTTTTTTGTTTTCACGTACCTGAGGTATCGATGCAGGAAATAGCTGAACAGATTAAAGCTGCCTTTGCACTTCTCGAGCTTGTGAAGGCCTGTGTAAGCCACCAAGATACCCCTGTAAAAACACGCAAAAAAATTGAAGAATTGTTTGTGACTTATTTAAGCACTCATCACTGATATCTCGAGCAAGCAATAAACACACACACACAATAAAAAAAAACACGCACACATGAAGTATATATGCCAATTTAAAGTTTGACAGTGTGCGGAAAAAATGGCAGGGTAACAGAAGTGAAATTTTAATCAGGTTCGACAATTATGGCCAAAGAAAAAAAGTAAAACGTAAAGACAAAGCATTAAACGAAAATTCATTAAACGGTGACAACGCCACACGAATGTATGTGACCAAAGGCGATAGTATAGATGCATATGTCTTTGCAAACAGGTTGTGTACTTATTTGCTTATTAAGTGCTTTTAGATTTTCTTTTATTTTTAGCGAGAGTGTAAATTCACGTCCCAAACAAACGATTAAAAATAAAGCAAACACGTTGCGGACAAGTGGAATATTTTTTGTTATCCTTATCTCGCGAAGCAAACTATCAACGAACAGCGCAGACGTGTCAAATACGCAATGTTAGAAACCTCTTTCACGTTCGAGCTTCACCAGCTTGCCCTACAAGCACATTCGCGAATTAGCGGTATTGCGGAAAATCAGTATCGCCAATTATTTGCATTTGTTATGTCGTCGAGCATCTGTTTAAGTCCTAAAAATTGTTTTTGAGCTTATATTTGTTTTTGTTAAAAATAAATCAGTTAACGCGCTTTCTAAACACCATAAAACCCCAAAATGTCGACATGCGTGGCATAATTTGTTTGTATTAAAAAAAAAAACATGACTAAAGGTTGCGACACGCCCATTTTTTTTTTAAATTCTCAGAAGAAAAGGGCATGTCTCAATATTTGATCTCGCTCTAATAGAAAAATAAGACGCTCATGATCGTAATTGTTTTGTTTTAGTTTTCATTGCGCGTTTAGATTGAAATATCGCTATGAAAAGACGAATGGATAAACATATTTAATGAAGTATATGACCCGGTGAGTCTAGCCTCTATAGACAGTGATGGAAATGGTGGGCCATTTGTGCAAAATTAAGCCATGAACGAACGTATCTTACATCTTGCGGCAAAACGTAATTTTTGTTAAGAATCGTGCCACATGCACCTAAATAGGCATAAACAAAGGACACAAAAAATTTTTCTTAATCGTCGATTTAAATATTTAGAGAAGTAGGAAGAAATGAAAATGGTACACATATGTATTTCACAGCGTCTCTATTCACCGTATAGTTTGTTTCATCTCAGGTCAGAGTACAGTCGAAGGCTCGAACGCATAGAACTCCGAACGTACTAAAAGCGCTAGTCACGGGATATTCGCTGCATTTGGTTTGTTTAGCCCAGGGGTGGCCAGACCTCGGCTCGTGAGCCTCATGCCCAAATGTGGCCCGGAGCTCCCTGTTCAACCCTTCCCCCCCTTTCCCCGCTTAAATATCAGACATGTGGAAAAATGGGCAGGTTGTGTTTTGTCAGCTTTGTGCCATCATATCATCGGACGATGTCCTCGTTTTACGAAAAGGAACTCAATAAAAAAAAAAAAAACATACTGAAAAATCGCTTCATGAGTGCAAGTAGCCGTGGCCCCCAACTAAAAAAAAAAAAAAAAAGAATTTAAGAAGTGCCACGTTTTTTTTTTTTAGTGCGGCGCTTTTCTTCACTCTAAAAAAAGCCCGTGAGTCTACTTTCCCGCAGAACACTCGGAGAGCCAATCAGCGCAACTTACGGAGGCAGCTCAGCGAATGACGATGCCGAAACATATGTTGAGACCAAAAAGCGCAGACTGAGTTGTGACATTAAGCAGTGCAAGCGTGACGTTTTGCATTGCTTAATGTCACAACTCAGACTGCGTTTTTGGTCTAAACATATGTTTCGGCATCGTCATTCGCTGAGCTGCCTCCGTAAGTTGCGCTGATTGGCTCTCCAAGTGTTCTGCGGGAAAGCAGACGCACAGACTTTTCTCAGAGTGTAGAATTGTTCCGGTTTTATGGCTGTTCGATTCTGTCCGTCTGGCCACCAGCCGCAACAGGAACACGTACAGGTGGATGGCGAATTCCATGATGTCGCGCTGTGCTGCTTTGATTGGTCTTATTGGCTCGTAGCGTCGGCTGCGCCTTGACTTAAGGTGAAAGGAAATATAGAAATTTCTGGTCAGCGGCGTTGGCCGGTTGATACCTGACATCGTCTAAACGTCTAGACGACGTCGGCGATGTCACGAGCTAAGAGTCGCGAGAGAACTGCAAAATAGTAGAATGGTGGTTACTGTGATAAGACGGAACCAGGGTCTTGTACTCCTGATGAGGTCAACTGGTTATCATGTCTGGCACATGCATCCGTGCTGTGGCTACAGTGTACCCTGGCACTTTCTCCGCTCGCGTCAGCATTTTCAGCCTCTCACCTGCACGCGCGCGTCGAGCTTCACCGCTTTGCACCGGAGTGCTAGGAGCAGCAGCTGTCGCGGGGGAGCGCTTTTGTTTAAAACCTTACGTACGAAACGTTTTTCTGCTAGGTAGGAAAATCCTCCTCGCCACCCGTCTAATTTCCCCTCTCCCACTGCTATCTTGACGGAGGGGGAGAGGTTCTGGGGCTGGATGAGCCCGGATCCCGGGTTATCCGGCCCCAAGATGCAGCAACAAAAGGAGTCCCTCCGCAGTCAAGATGGGAGAGGGGGAAACGGAAAGGGTGGCGAGGAGGAGTTTTTTACTTCGCGGAAAATTATTTTTCTAGGTCAGACTTTGACGCGCACGGAAATTATGCTCAGTGGTGTTACAGGTTGACCTTCTTTATTCCTCATTGTAAGTCAATTTATAATTTAAAAAAAAATGAAAAAAACTGCGCCGAGGAAAAAAAAAAGAATATCACGGGATACGGCAGACAAGGTAGTTCCTGTGCGGCTTTCGATCGCGGATGACTTTTACTTAGCATTGTTACCTTTAAAGAACAACTGTAGGCTTTCATCATATTTGTTGATTGTCGTTTTTTCCAGTTTACGATATAAGAGTTTTGAGTTTGTTAGGTTCATAAAAGTTTTCAGCGCATTTTTATTGATACAGCGGATATGCTGTTTCTGCCGGTGTTAAACAGAAATCATATTTGCAGGCTAAATAAACGACGGAGTGCAAAGGGGGAGGGGAGAAAGGCTTTATCCGAACTCAAGTGTTCCACTACGGTTCATTTTTCAGCCATTTGTTTATACCTATTATAAATGGAACCAACCTACTCCGACCTGAGCCTTATTTCTGCGTTCGGCTCCGCGTTCCTTTTTTGCCCGATCCATTGTTATCACTAAAGTTCATGATTATTATGCTCCAGCATCGAAGATGAACCCTGAGTAATTATAGTATATGCATTAAGCAATGCAATCACTTTTTTTTTTTTTTTTTTCATTTTTAAGTGACGTATTGACAGAGGTCGGCATCTGCTCCGAAAGCGTCAGTGGGTGCTCCGAACTAATATTTTGTCTGCTACAGAACCTGCTACGAAGGGTCAAATGCCGCTCCCATCATTGGAGTTTAAAAAAAGAAAAACGCATGGCGTTGCAAGTTCCAGCCATCTCATTAGCGCTCCGCAACCAATCAGAATGCCGCATTAGAACGCCGAGGAACGAATTAGGAAATAAGAAGCGTGAACTTCATAAGCCACTACCCACTATATACACAAAATAGGTATAAGCGCGACACTTGAGAACTTTCGCATAGATGTCGCGCGCAGAAATAAAATAAAATAACGAAGACAAAAAAAAAAAAGAAAAAAAAAGACGAACACTTACGACATTGTGACGAAGGTCTCGACGGCCGGAAAGACGTTGAGGACGATTTGGAACGGTATCGACTTTCCGTATTCCAGGGCTTCGAAAAGGCCACCTGTGACGATGAAGCGAGTCGGGAATTAGAAAGTAGTCGGTGACCTTGCCGCGCAGAAGCGCCCGTAAGCGAGCCAAGCGGGTCTACCGTAGCGGCCGATAAATGCAGGAAGTAACATGAGGTCAACGGTTGGCGGTGGCAGACAGTTCGACCCCGATCACGCGCGTGCACGCCGATATACGGGGAAATTGAGGTGACGAGAGGCAATTAAGCCCTCTCAGAGCCGTTACATACCTTCCGCACTCTTTAGACGATTACGTTCAAGGTGTCGATCGACGGACTTATACGCGAACGAGCGACCTCCGCCCTTTCTGAAGAGTGACCGGGGGCATTGCGTCTGCTTTCCCGTAGAGCACAACGGGAGAGCACAGTCACTCCCTAAAGCCGCTTTCGTATACTGCCAATGCATCGTACGAAAGACAGTTTGCACAGACACTGTCTGAGACGTATTTGTTGCTTGTATGACGGTGTCAGACGACAAAAACCGTATGCAGGCATGTTCCAAGCGTACATTTGTGCGAAGCAGACATGCTTCTAAGACGCTGGAGGCCTGCGTGAGATGAAGCGTTTGCGCATGCGCAGTGCCAACAGCAGCGCCACCGTGGGGGCGTGATGTCATAGAGTTTAGTGTGCGTATAGCCGTTGTAGACGGTACGCGGAAACCCTGTATAAGTGACGACATGTATGCAGGTTAATTGTTTTTTTTTTTTGTTTTTTTTTTTTCGCAGTCGCTACTGAAAAAAGAGTCTTTTAGGTTTCTGGGAGCGCACAAGGGGGGTCGGTGGCCGATTGGGCTAAAGCGCGCACCCAGCTCGACGCGCGTGGAGCGAAAGCTCGCGCTGCAGAACCCAGGGATCCTGGGCTCGAGCCCCACCCCTGCCCGTTTCGATCTGGATGAGCATCGTACCGGCGCGTGCGGTCGTGTATCACTACTGCGTAGTGCACGTTAAAGACCCCAGGCTAGCGGTTGTGCTGCAGTGGTTAAATTGCTCATCTATAAAGCGTGTGACTCGTCGCAACTTTAATGGCTGACCAACATTAACGCTGTATAAATATCCCACAACCCAATATTTTTTTTTTTTTTGGGAGCGCACATTCAGAATGATCCGTGTAGAGAGTTTACGACGTTAATCTGTCTTAGAGACGGCGAACGTGCGAGACGCGCAACCATTGGATGTGCAATGTCTACAGTTTTTTGGCGACAGTAATATAGGCTGGAAGATAAGTAGATATTGACAAAAATAATAATATTATATATAGTGACTGATAGCTTATGCACCTAAGGGTATGACTAGACCAGACCAGTTCAATATCACTGCTGTGCACAGCGACGAATGTCTAGTGCTGATTGCATTTACAGCATAAAATTTCGGAAACAGCAATGAAAAGACCATGAGTAAATTGCCCTAGCTTGCCACCTTTGCATTTTATGCCACTCTGCTTTGATCTGCTTTGATCGAGTGCTACTGGATTAAAAAGGAATTTATATTTAATTTGTGTCAGGGTAAAAATGCATAATATCTAGGCAGCTATGGAGTTTTTGAACTAGTCAGAGATTGAGACATTTTATATCAGCAAATTTTTTTTTATCGCTCGTAATATAAAAATAAAAGAAGGTTTCTAACATGCACTCTTACAGATTTTTTTTTAAGGCTTACATAGTGCAGAATTACTAGCGTTTTACCCGTCCCTTTAACGTATTTTCACGCTCCAGCGGCGTAGTCAACAGTACGTGGGTTTCTAGCGAACCATTGCGAGTATCACGGCTAAAGTTTACGCTACTACAATTGGTTCGGCATGAGGAGTTTAGGAGAAAAAACAAAAAAGAGTTATCAAATATATTGCGCGTCCAGATGCAACCATCACCGACAGACTCAGCTTATAAAAACTTTCCAAAGACAAAACGTTATGCAGGGAATAGAGAGAGAGACACTATGAATGCGAGAGGGTCTGCATTCTTCCGCAGCAGTTTATGTGTCCTGCACGAGTGAGACACCGCTTGGCGCTCGACCTTACAGCGTTTCTTTTCTTCTTTGTACGAGTTAATCATGGTGCAGTCACGATCTTCACCATTCCGAGATTTATGGAACGACCAGAACAACTACAACACTCGGGATTTTTTTTTTTTTTTTGTATTCTAGACGTTTTGGCAAAACAGCTTTTACAGCAGATGGTAAATGTCGCATCATGTTAGTGCGTCTTAATTTGTCTTGAGATTTAAGTAGCTTTCGTAATGCATGGGAAGTCTGTACTGCATGTCTTAGCAAACATGCTTGCGCACTTTTCCCACCAACCAGGAGTTACCTTACACTCAGCCTTCAGTGCGCTTTTAATGATTGCCAAGCGTTAAAAAGGCGCCGTGAGTGGCGTTATAGGGTTTACTTACCGGCTAACACGTAGCTTTTGTAGAAGAACGTGTGACCCAAAATGATCCATGCCATTGTGATGACCCGCATCCCGTGTAGAGGCTCCAGGACACCGATTGCCGTGCGGGTGCTTAGGAGCCGTTTGCCGTTGGAGAAGGCAGAGAACGCCATCACGATGTCCATGATCAGACCTTGAAGGGAAGGACGCCGGTTAACGACTCCGCTTTACGACTAATAGGAAGTGCACACGTTCTTACTAGTGGAATGCTTCTTCTTGAGGCTTGCTTCGGGGTTCTCGTGTCTCCAGCTTTTGACGAGCCGCGGAGAAACGTCAATGAAAGTGCCCAGAAGCACCAAGCAGAAGAAGAATGCCAGGATGCATCTGCAAAAGTTTGTTGTCATACTTGACTGAAAAAGCGTCGGGACACAAGGCTCGAGCTTTTTTCGTCGCACTCGGACTCATGCAAGTGGCGTGATTCTAGCAAAACGTGAGTCGCACGATTCTATCAGAGGGAGTCCGCTGACCCTTGTGAAAGATAGTCGCCTGACTCCTGGCAGGAAGGAGGTCACCTGACGTCACCGAGTGATAGTCACCAAACTTTAGTGGTGGCCAACTTCACTGATTCCACTGAGCACTGGAGTCATTTGACTCTTCTAAAAAAAGTAGCATCAGAGGGACAACTTTAGACACCCCCAAAGGGGGTCGGTCAGCGCTTACTACTTTTTTAGCGTATATGCGAGCTCAAAAATATCGACTTTGGTTTCAGTCAGACGACACTGTCAAGGTATGAGGAACGCAAGTTTGACTGCTTCTTTTGCAAGGGACAACCGTCAGAATGCTTTAGCACTGATTGGTTCTCAATGAAGGATAGTGGGTAGACCTCAAGACTTGAAAGTATAAAACAGCGAGAATAAGGACGGGAACAGGACATCTTTCATTTCGCAACAACATAAAATGGCCATTCTATGTTGTTGCTAAATGAAAGATGTCCTGTTCCCGTCCTCGTCCTCGCTATTTTATACTTTCAAGTTTTGTATTTATTAACCAACACGCTCGTTTTCAATTGTAACTGGGTAGACCTCAAGGCAGCTCGCTTTGAGGTCTACTCACAATCCTTCAATCAGAGCCAATCAGAGCACGGCTTCTTTCTGACGTCCCCGCAACTCCTACGCAAGAAGCAGACGACTAGCTGCTCTCCACATTGGATTGGCTCCGATCACTCTTGTCGTTTGCTGGGGTCCGTCGTTAGGTCAAACGGCCTATATAATCCTCTCCGGAACATGATGGCTATTTCGTTAACATGTAATTCGCTTCGCGGGTTGTTCGTGTTGACTTTTATCGGATGGGATTGCGATGTCATAAGGTACTGACAGGATAAAAACGGCGGGGAGGAGTCTCAGTTGTCCTGCCTCCAGCGCGAGCTTCTTCTTACCTTCGATAACGCTTTGGCATCTGAGCCGGCCGTTCGAAAGAGGCGCCCTACAGTTCTCTCTTTGTCAGTGACTGTAGTTTGGGGGAATTTAAGGTTTTTCACAAAAACTGCTGCGCAAGCGCGAAAAGGTGCGTACGCCCCTCCAGGCTGAAAGGAAATATGCATACGGCTATTTTTAAACATCTGCCGGCTGCTGCGGAAATAAAATCTGTGTCGTGGGTCGCCTTGCATTAATGCGTCAGCATTAGAACGCTCGTTTTGACGAAAACCCGGCGGTGTCTGTTAGTTTGTCAGCGCCGGGGAGAGAGAGAAAAGGAGAGAGAGAGAGGGTGACCCGTGCGACGCTCCTATTGTTTCGAAATCGCTATGTCAGCACGCGTCACCCTCTCCTCTCCCTATCTCTCCGGAGATGACAAACTGACAGACATCGCCACGTTTTCGTTAAAACGAGCGTTTTCGTTTTCGTAAAAGGAGCGTCGCACAGCTGGCCCGAAGTTAGAGGGGGATCGAGGCGCCGCGGCACGGTGGAATGCGGGCGCGCGCTCAGTTGCCGTTCTGACGTCGCCGGATGTTCTCTCTGGGTTTCTGTAGTAGCGGTGCGTGGGCTGTGGTGTGTGTGTGTAGTTAAAACGATGGATGCGGTTCCCCCCCCCCCCCCCCCCCCGATTGATATGGGTGTGGTTCCTTCCACGAATGGTTATGGATGTGGTTCTTTCTACGACTGATATGGATGATCGTATTCAACGGCGTCGACGCACTCTGACAGGCAGAGTGCAAAAATGTGGTAAAAGAAATGCGTGAAAATAATAAAAAAATGTCATAAAAGAATGGAAATGGTTGATAAATTAATGGAAGACGGTAATACATGAAAGAAAAGGGGTGATAAACGAATGGAAAGGGGTGAAAGGGGGTGAGGAAGAACTAAGGCTAGCCTATTTACATCTTTTGAATACCATTGAAGACAACTGATTTTTTCATAATGTATCACCAAACGCTGCAAGAATTATTTTTACCGGAAAGAGAGTGCCTAGTATTTTAGATTGCGGTCGGAGAAGCAGAACACAAATTAGCTGTTAGTTATTTATACAGCGGGTAACAACGTCTGCCAGAACATGGCGACGTTGTTACCCACTGTACAGCGTGGGTCGAAGGGATCGATGGCCGTTTGAAGGGACGGCATAAATTGTGTTCTTAATGGATTGCACTAGGATTTACTACAGAGGTGCCTGAAGTTGGAGGAGGCTTTCACTCAAATTATGGAAAGATTGGCTTACCTGAGTAAATCAAGAAAAAAAATTATGTTTTTCCTATACTTTGTATGTACATTAAAAATTATGATGTGTTACTGTGTCGCTTATTTGGGCCAAGTAAAGTGAAAAATAGTTAAGCCAATTTTATTTTCTTTCCATTTCACATATTTTTCAATCTATGAACGCCAGAATAGCCCACAACAATTTTCTGATGATTTTGAGATAAGAGGCTTAGCAATAATGTTTCCATAGACAAAACCAGTTTTTATTTGTTTTCCTTTGAATCCGGAAGTTTCATGTATTCATACCGTCAATTAATGAATGCACCAGCTTCAATCACCTCTGCAGTAAATCTCAGCGTGATAAATTAAGAAATCGATTTATGCCGCCCTTCCTATCACCATCGATCCATTTTACTTAAAGAGGTAGATGAGAAATTTAGCCGCTGCAGTACGACTGCTAGCCTGGGGTCTTTTTAAGGCGCATCACGCTGTAGTGACACACGCCCACACGCCGATACGATGCTCAATCCCATCGAAACTGGCAGGGGTGGGGATTGAACCCAGGATCCCGACCCTTGCCCGTCCCTCGCGTGTCTAGTGTAAAAGAAACTTGAATAGCTGTCGTGGTAAGAAGGAAGTCAGACGGCTCACCATGGCAGTCAAGAAAGCGCAGCCGGAGCTGCAGTTCATTTTATCACGGGAACGTCATCTTTGTAAGCTTCTGACAAGCCTTACATTCACCGTTATTCCGTTAGTCCTCGTTTTGTTACCTTTCTGCTCCCTTGAACCCAATTTTTGGCGCTGTTCAATAGGTTGCGCGCTGCAGCCCGTAAATAAATTGTTGGGTTCCAGTATTTTTTTAAATATATATATATATATATAGGTGTGTTTATGCAACTTCATCCCGAAAATCCGTCAGGCGGGGTTACGATACAAAACTAGAGTGCACCATCTGAAGCACCAATTGACGGAGAAACATTTAGTTTACGGAACTAGTAATGTATGGGCTAGATAGACCAATATTAGTTTTAAGGGGGACCCTACCCAAGAATTCCGACTTTTGGACCTTTGGCTGAATATGACTGAAATTTACGTATATACTGACAGTTGTAAGGAAGAGTGCAGTGCAAAGTTTCATTTGTGTACATAAATTGTAAAAAAAAAAAATTATAGTTGTTTTTATCAGGAACACACTGACTTTGTTCAGAAAAACTATCGCAAGAAAACTAGTGTAATATCCATCGTTTTTTCTTCGCTAGATCTGCAGCAGAATGTCTGGAGAGAGCAACTCTGAACAGAAAATTTTCAAAAAGTAATTTATTTTATGCTAACATCGCAGTGAAAAATAAAATATTTTTTTTTGTCTTTTATGTTGTCGACAAAATCTTAGCATATTTTATAAAAGACAGGCACAAAGTCAAAAAGCAATTCCACAGTTGCATTGTCCATACAATTTCAAATTGGAAAAACAATGAGTGAGTCTTTTTTTTTTGTCCCATTAACAAATGATAGTTTTCCTAAAGTGAAATTTAGGCCAAAAAGTGGCACGGAGAAAAATTTCTTCAAAGTGCTCCAACTTCTACCTTTTCTTTAGCATCGGTAGATCGAAAATAATTTATAAAAAAATTAATTATGCAGTGTAAACTAATGAAACTTTCTGGAAATACTATTTATATGTTGGTGGATGTAAATGTGACATTTTTCACAATCAACTTTTTTTTGCAGAAATTGTTTTTCCTGGGTAGTGGCCCCGCTTAAGAAATTTCGCCGGTGTTCCTAACAGTAATAAAGCCATTGAGCAAACTTAACGAGTCAGAGTTGTCGCTTTGTTACTACCGTATGCTGAAGTGTACTTTGTCGCTGACTTTTGTAGAGCCCTTTCTGTAATTCCTCTTCCTCGAATTTCAATATCCTTAAAAAAAAAAAAAAGAAAAAAAGAAGAATAAAAAGTAGTCTAGCTTTTAATTTTTACGTTTCGAGCTTCCTGGGATGCGCCAAGTCAGACCAAGGCATACGGAGTTCAGGTTTTTAGTTTGAAAGGCCATATTTGTACCTATTTGTTTATTTGGCGAACTCCTGGAGCTTTCGCGTTAGTACGCGTGTCAGTAGCAATAAATGAACGCAAATGCTATACACGCAACATACTAACAATGTATATTTTTATATTAAGAAAAGCAAATGCAATATCAACCACAAATGACAATGAACACAAAGTATACTCACATGGCGACCATCTGAACTGTGCTGTACACAGTTGGGTGAGCTGTCTCGCAGAATGGAACCGTTATGTTGACTTGGGCGAGGTCTCCCACTGAAATTGAAGACAATTCTTATAATTACATGTATTTTTATTTTGATTCTTGTGCCATTGAAATTAACGTAGGGATACGTGCATGAATTGTTCATAAAATATTATGTATTACCGATCCCAAAAATGCACGACTATGGGCTTATTTGTAAGCCATTTCAAAAAGATGTCAAAACTAAATGATCGTTTTTAAAAGAACTAGCTAACTTGAAAAGTAATACTAAGGACTACACAATGCGCCATAGTGAGCCTTGGAAAGTTAGCACTTATAGAACAATCTACTGTAAGATATGCTGAAAAGGAAACTGCCAAGTTTACTAAATAAATTAAATGCCAAAAATATTGATCTGATAAATATCACGTTAAAAACACCGCGTAGTTACTTCAACCCACAGTCTACTTTTCCTGCGTAACAAGGAAATAATAAAAAAAAAAAAGAAAACGTAATATTAGTGAGCATTGAGCGGTACTGTGCATATATATGCAGTCTGTTCTCTCCCTCTTTTTTTTTTTTTTTTTTACTTGAATATGCCTTAACAAATATCTCTCGTTTGCGCGGTAGTCTATGGCCACTGTTGCTCCTTTTTTATGTTTTCTTCCGTTAATGCTGGAAATTTTATTGTATGTTGAATTGTTTATTGCCGCAGAAATGCCAATGAGGGGGTTCTATGGCTTTGTCCAGCTGTACTTGTGACGACTTTTTCCACGAGCCTCCGGTATCCTGTACGTTGTACTTGATGGAAGATAAACATCAAATATCATCAAACATCAAAATATCAACACCTTAAAATCCGCCGTGAAAGGTATTCAAAGTCGGTAAAAATCGCCGATGGTTTTATGGCCTTCGAAGAAACGGGACGAATAGGCTCGAAGTGACGGAGCGGAACCGAGTTTGTGCGCGTACCTGCGTTGACCAGGAGTTGCATGTCCTGTACGCTGCACGTGTGAGGCACGCAGAGTCCCAGTCTCACGGCAGTGAAGTAGAAGTAGCTGATGGACACGTCTCCCAGCAGGTTCTGCGGCGGAACAAGGCGGAATTTGCGACGCGATCGGAATGCCGGGTGCCAAGTTCGGAAACACTCGGGATTATGCGCAGTGCAAGTCGCCTGCTTCTTGCGCAAGAGTAGCGGTGACGTCAGAACGACAACGAGCTCTGACTGGCTTTGATTGAAAAGATAGTGGGTGGATCTCAATGTGAAATGCCTCAACGTCTACCCATTTTTTTTTTTTTTCAGTCGGCCCAGAGGAGTTTGACGTTCGAACATTATCGCAACCCCTGTGCAAGAAGCAGACAAACTTGCGCACCACATAGCCACCGGTCTTTGCGGAGAGCAAGTCGTCTGCTTGTTGCGCAGGAGTGGCGGTGACGTCAGAACGACACCGAGCTCTGATTGGCCCTGTCTTTTCTATGGTGTATGAGCAGCGTGAACTCTAAAAAAAGTCTGTGCGTCTACTTTCCCGCACAACACTCGGAGAGCCAATCACCTCAACTTACAGAGTCAGCTCGGCGAACGACGATGCCGAAACATATGTTTAAACCAAAAAAACGCAGTCTGAGTTGTGACATTAAACAAGTATGCAAGCGTGACGTTTTACATTGCTTAATGTTACAACTCAGACTGCGTTTTTTGGTCTAAACATATGTTTCGGCATCTTCATTAGCTGAGCTGCCTCCGTAAGTTGTGGTGATTGGCTCTGGGATTGTTGTGCGTGAAAGTAGGCGCACATACTTTTTTTAGCGTGTGACGGAGGCCCAAGGCTGTCAGTGCCCATGGGGCGTATACTGCCAGAAGCAGAACGATGAATGAAAAAAAACTGCCAAGTATACTCTAAAAAAAGCCCGTGCGTCTACTTTCCTGCACAACACTCGGAGAGCCAATCAGCGCAACTTACGGAGGCAGCTCGGCGAATGACGATGCCGAAACATATGTTTAGACCAAAAAACGCAGTCTGAGTTGTGACATAGAGCAATGCAAAGCGTCACGTTTCCATTGCTTAATGTCACAACTCAGACTACGTTTTTTGCTCTGAACATATGTTTCGGCATCGTCATTCGCCGAGCCGCCTACGTAAGTTGCGCTGATTGGCTCTCCGAGTGTTGTGCGGGAAAGTATACGCATGGGATTTTTTTAGAGTGTACAGTATATGTAGAAATATTACTTTTTTTTTTCTTTTTTGCGGGGCGTTTAAAATAGACCAATAGGACACAAAGACGGCATAATCTTGTGGAAGAGCAGAATTGCAGACTGTCATGTTTTGTACAATCCCCAGGGTTCGATGAGTCCGCAAAACCATCCGTACCTCTACACAATTCGTCATAACAAAATTTTAAAATAAAGAAACACATAATTTAGTAATACAAACTCCGTACTTAACATGTTGTGAGTGCAAGGGTTATTACCAAACCACCTTTTATTTTAGTCATTATTAAGTATAAAGATAATCTTAAATGTCCTCGGTGCTCTTTAAAGGAAACTGAAGTGGTTCTGTATTGGAGTGAAAAATGCCATCTTCATTTGGCCTCGCAGGATTACGAATATCAAGGTTTTTTTCCCTTTAATTTGTTGCATGGAGACTGCTGAAAATCATTTTCAAAGTACTACTGAAGCCCCTCCTTCAAGGGGCGTTACGTCATAAAAGAAGTTTTCGGAATCTCCGCTCTCGCGCATCTTCAGCGCCTATCAAAGCTACGCACCAGCACTCTTGTTTTTTTTCCATAAAGGACTGAACAAGACGTCACAGTTGGTGTCAGTGGGGGGACATACCTCGCAAGCTTGCAATTGCACGCGCTGCCCACACGAGCGACACGCGCTTGGCGGCCGAAAGATCCTTCTACGACTTTAGGACTGATCGGAGGTTTTTCGTGTTTTTTCACGCTTTGTTACATATTCGCGGAAAACGAATGTAATATTCATATTCACGCGATAAAAATACTCTAGATACTTAGATTTCACCCCTAACTCGTTTTTTTTCTTTTTTTTTTTCAAGAATATCTTTAGGTTTAATTTATATAATCTTTCCTATTATGCGATTATAAAATATAGGTTTCCTACTATCAAGTTCAGAAGCCTTTCTGCAAGTAGCAAGGAAAATGACCGAGCTTTTTGTACACGAAACCCTGCGCGTCATGCATCATGTAGACGCTTAATGTAAAACGGATGAGGTTCGTGTCCACTTACTATCCTCAAGAAAAAGGCATAATACAGAGCAGACAAACAAGGGCGTTTTATATAAGTTCAGCAGCAGCTGCTCAACATTCTTTGAGATGTCGGTCTCCCCAATCGTCTGTGAACTTCCCTGTGAAATATACGTGTTTTATGAAGTTCCTCGTTACTCTCCACTTTCTTAACATGCGCCTTTCATCCTGCTTAATTCTTAATTTATTTTCCTCTCTCCTCTTCCCTCTAGACGTGTGTATGTATTGGGTGAGGATAGCTGGTCCCTTTCTGGTAAGATCTATGCTTCTCTCTTTTATTTGGAACTTGAGAACATGCTGGTCCCTTGACTTTGACCAGTGCGAAGGCGCTATCGTGGTTCAAGCTATGTTTTGTATTTTACCTGTGGCAGCGTGTTATATCGAATGCAAGAAAGAGTTGAACCACTCTGAAAAGATGAAAAATTGAGGTACCCCCAGATTCCAGAATAACCGCCATCACCACTCTAAAAGGTAGGCGATTGACCCACGGAAGTGGTCGAGGTGTTTTGCGAGAACGCCGTTATGCTTTTGTAGGTTTTAATGAGTCGATGTGGGCATTGTGACCAGAAACACGCACCTTGTAGAGTGGCACCTCGTCCGTGAGGTTCTTGAGGAACGTTTTCGGACTGTAGTGAGCCGGCTTGGGCGGTAGGTGGGGTCGCACGTTGACTGCGCAGTACTGGCCCCTGAAGTACTCTTCCAGTTTGCCGTTGAGCCGTTTGTTGATGGCACGTGTCTGGAGACACTCGCCAAGGTCTCCGAAGGATGCCAGCGAGCCGAAGAACATGCCTTCTGGCATCTTGCCACTGGCATCTATCACTGCACCCAAAATGCACCATCAGAATAACAAAGATATCTACTGGAGGCACAAAGAAACATGATCGGAGTTAAAAAAAAATACGACACTGGAGTTACAAAACATGGATCACCAACTAGCCCAAGTACATACCCTTCTACAGTTCATTTCTTCTACATAAGGCTGTTCTCAAGCCCCCTGCGTTTTTTTTTTTACTAGTTTGTTGTTTTTAGCGTTTTTACCCTCGGAAATATGAATCACCAACTCGCCCAAGTACATACCCTTCTGCAGTTACAAAATGCGTGCAAGGACACCGGACATAGTCAAGTTTCTTCTTGGAAGCTTTTTGTCAGGCGTCATTGACACAAATGTTGGCGCAGATCAAATTCAAGTTCTAGTCAAGGGCCCTGGGACAGAGCGACTGCGCCAAAGTCCGTTACAATGTCTACAAATTGGCTCGAATCCCCTTTAGTTGTTATCACAAGACACCTTAGATAACCCCAATTCAATATTTTCAACAAACATCGATTTGTAAGACAACACCTGATTAGCACCGGGTGACCATAATTCTAATGACAGGTGCCATATCCAAACTATATAAAATATTTGTTTGGTATCTCAATAATTGTCAGATTAGTTGTCGTCTCTACATATCAGTTAAGAACGCACTTAGTCAAGGGAAATATAGTCTCGGCACATAAAGGTAAAACACACACACAGGTTAGAAACAAAAGAATACTGAAGTAAGAAACCCGGGTTAAGAAGCGCAGTCCCGAGTCAGCTCAGCAGCCAATCAGAATGTGGCATTAGCAGATAAGAATTCCGAAGAACGAATTTTGACTGAGAAAGCGTTAGTCACGCCCGGCGCTCCTTGTTTATCTTTCACTTGTCCATCGTCAACAATATTTGAACTCCTCCTAAACTTAGTCAATCTCTACTGTGATCAAATAAGGATGGAAACAATCGTAATAAAGGCTTTTCGCGGGTTTTACAGCCTGCTGTGAACCATCGATAGACCCTTTATAAAAGTCCACCGAGCAACGTTGACGGTCGCCATTGCTTGGCTAGGTGGCGAAAGCTACCGCCCGTTACAAAGGGTATAGCCGTTAAAGCGCCGTTGACACTCTTGCGACCGAGTAAGACCGAGAAAGACCAGACCGGTTTTTAAGCCTTTTGCGACTTCTTAGGACCGGATGCGCTGCAGCGAAACTGGTCCTAAGAGATCGCAAGAGGCTTAAAAACCGGTCTGGTCTCTCTCGGTCGTACTCGGTCGTACCATCTATCCTTGGACACGAAGCGCGTGATTGGATCCGATTCCTCGCCAAAAATTGACGCAGTCCTCGTGTCCAGTACATGCTCAGAGTATGTGAACAAGCAATGGCGGCCAGGCGATGGCGCGGACTTTTGAAAAAAGTCTATTGGTACAGCGGCTAGGCATAATCAACGAGTTAGTTCACTTGCGGAACGTCGCCCCCTTTCTTACGGGTGGGGACGCTGCACTGTTGTAACTGATAGCTCAAGGTACGCAGGACGTGGCGATCCTTCGAGCATCTTACTGTCGCACCGCAGCCAATGAGATTGCAGCATTAGTCGATAGGAACACCGAAGGACCAATCAGGAAACAAGAAACGTGAGCATCTGGAAGCCGTGCTCTATATTTTTTAGGGTGTTAGTGACCACAGTCATTTTCAAATCTGTGCTTAGTTCAAAAGAAATCCCGGAGCACGTGCTCGGCAAATTCTAACAACATGAAGCTAAAAAAAAGAAGAAAAATAAAACAGTTTCTTATATTTTTCAATGTACATGCGCTTCTGTCGAGGAAACCACCAAACCAATATCCAAGCAAAAAAAAAAAAAAAAAACTAATATTTTAAGAGGTTTTTGGGAGGTCGTGTTGTATAGATTAATGGTGTGCACTGAATCGTTCGCGTTGTCTACATAGTGAACACGCGTCCGAGCTGGAGGACAAGTAACATCGGCGCCTCGATGTTAGGATAAAAGATCAAACAAACGCGGAACGATGCTTCAGTTTTGTCATCTTTCGTCGTTTGTGCCTAATCTTGCTCCTAATACGCTGACAGTTCGTAAAACTATCTCGCCCCCCCCCCCCCCCCCCCCCCCCCCCCCCCCCCTTGGAACACGTTGTATTTTATAAAAGCTTTTTAAGATACGCCTCTTAGCTTGACGATTTGATTTTTCGAGGCCCGACTTTGGACGTGTGATTTCCCTTTGAGTTCTACCACTTACGATGCACGAAACTGAGAAGTTAGACCTAAATACTTTACAACAGCTTTCCTCCCGTAGGGCCGTCCTTAAGTTATCGCCTATTCGCGACTCCAACTAACTATAGGTGGCGCCACTCCTTTTCCAAGATGGCGGGTTTAGTGAGGGTCAGAGATGCGTGCCACTGTTGAGCCTGTCTAGTGTACTGGCTTCACCGAGCGACATAAATTATTTCTGGTAATACGAGGAAGCTAATGTTTTATGAGCGCAGGTCACCTTTTTAACCTGAAAACAAGAACGGTGTTTAGCGTATTATTTACGGAAGGATGCGCATTTTAATTCTGGAGCGAAACCGAAACTTACCTCTATTTTGGATTTAATTTCTCGATATAGGTTTTAATTTCAGATTCTATCATGACTCAAGATGTGTCTGACATCGTAATTATTTACTTATAAAAGTAGTTCACAGAAAATTTATTTTGTGTCATACTGGTCGATTCAGGTTGATATTTGTAGTTGTTGAAAAAATCAGTGCTGATATCTGTGCGTTCTCGCTCCCTTTTTCTCGCTCAGATAATTGTCATGGGAAATAATGAGAATTATCCCAGCACAACAAAAAGAGAATAATTACAATTTTACAATATGTCCACGAAACACATAAACTAATAAACGCTGCTCTCACTGCAACAACCCAAAGACGGAATCCGAGTCAGACAGCTGAAGTGTGCGTGTGTTTTTATAGCACCGCGTGACGCGTAGGACTTCATATTACATCCAGTGTTTGACTGTTTGTCTATCTTGATAACGATGTCAGAGTTTTTCATATGCTAAAAAGAAAACAGAATTTTACCTTTCTGGAAAGTCTATTATAGTTAAATAGCGTATTCTCGTGATCTTGGCGTTAATTAAAGGTATACATTGCCGCGATTTGTATTAATAATAATAATAATATTAAAATTCACCTATTTGAATTAGTAATTCTTAAAGCTCTAATCTAATTTGTTGCTTATCATCTAATTTTAAACGCGCGAAGAAATATGACAATGAAAACTGCTAATTATCATCACTGCTTCCGATTGCCGCATTTTAATTACCGATAAAATAAAAATAGTCTAAAATCAATGAAAACATTCTAGCTAATGTGAGAAATCCATGTAAAATTACATTAATTATGGGTAAAGTATATTGTGCTATCAAAGTCGCGACTTCTGACAATCGGCGAAACGTCCAAAGTAGCCGCCACTATACTTCCAGACCAAATGCCCAAAAGTAAAAAAAAAAAAACAACTTTTTTTTTAATTACTAGTTTTTATATAACTTTTATTTACTTTTGTATTTGCTTGCCGCCGTTTTGCCAATCTCAGCCTTTCCAGTTTGAAGGAACGCCTACGTTTCGTTGGCGTTGGAAGCCGGTGAAACAATAGTGCGTTTTAATATTGCGTATACGAGCGAACTCAAGCCCTATGTGTTTGCGTTAGTTTTGCGTGTTCCACACTGCGCGTGCGCAGAGCCCGAAATTGCGGTCTTGAATGGCGCATGGTGATGAGGCGCAAAACGTGGGGCACGCTACTCTAACGCAAACGCACACCGCTTGCGTTTGCTTCTATGCGCGATACTAAAACTCTTTAGTAGGGTACAATCCCATACCGGCTGCAGCACTACGTCGGGACAGTGAAGAGTGTTGTTTGCATTCGGAAACGACATTTCGCGAGCCATGATCGCGAGCAGTTCCGCCATGCCCGCTGAGCAGGAGAATCGGGGGACCCTCACTAGACCACTTCCCGTTTCCGCCGCGGGAGGGCGAGCGTCGAGCTGGAGACGCGAATACAGTTAAGAAAGGATGAAAGGTCGGTGATAAAAAACACGTATAAATCTTTTTTTTTTTTTTTTTGCGAAATACACAGCCGCGGCGGTTCCGAGAAATCTACGTCAAGCCAAATCGACATACGCAACAAAACGTTTCGGCATCCGAACGTTTGAGCTTCCACGAGGAAAGTCTCCGAGTTGGACACCTGTGAATGGCGTGCTGTTGGAGGCTTGCCCGGCCACAAAGATGCACAGCTGCGTTTTCAGTTTTATAAAGACGTCTTCTTTGTTTTAATAGTTCATTTTCTCCAAACAAGGGAAGGGAGATAGAGAAATAAGCTGTAATTTCAGCTTGACGAGGCATCTACCTCCCCTTACGGTACAGCGCAAAACAGGACATCTGCAAATGCACGTGCAGTACCATACACATTAATAAGAAACACTTGTACGAGATTCAACGCGATTGCAGATAATACTAGTTACGTCTAAGTGACTTGATGACTTTTTTTCACAAAATTTTCATTTTCATTTATAAATTATATGACTCGCCACCAGAACTTAATATTTCTCTCGAAAATCTGAAAGGAACACTGTAAGTTTACTTTGTCTTCAATTGCACCGGATGGTATTTGTGAATAACATAAATATTAACATAACACTTTTTTTTAACCATAGGGGGAGTCGTTTATGAATTCTATGCATACATCCTGTTAATTTAGGCAGTTCGGAACAACGATCCCGGCGGCACTCCGCTTCGTACTTCTAACTTACCAGAGGCTACTTAATTTGAATCCACAATTTGATATCGATTCTTTAAATAACATTAAATTATTTTTAATGCAACGCTACGTATACCATAATACTGAAGTTTAACCAGTGAGATATCGTGCTGTATTGTGTCAAAAGACTTTGGCAAGTCTAAAAACGGCTCTAATGTATAAAATTTATCTTCACTATCCTTGATAATTTTGTCTTTTATGTGGAGAGTGCTGGT